TCTCTGATGCGCAAGAAAGGCATCCTTGAAAAAAAATCCTGCAGAAAAGAAAAAAACATTTTTCGAAAAATTATGCAGAAAGGAAAATCGAAATTTTTCCCTTCCCAAATTAAAAATCTTTCTAGCAAAAACTCTGTAACAGTCTGTGACAATGTTGCTGTAATTCTACCACGGGGGGCTACATCATGTCAAACTTGATGGCTCAGGGGAAAGAGCCCTCCAATGAGATGAACCAGGTTCGAATCCCAGCTGTTCAACAACAGTAATAAAATAAAAACATGTAAACTTTAAAATTACTGACTGAAACCAATTTCCATAAAGTTTGTTCTTTGACTATTAATAAACAATTCAAACACTTGAAAAAAGTATGTATTATAGAGAAAACAAATTACTTGAAATATATTTGGCATCAGGTCAGTGAAGTGAACCCTCTGAAGCTCATTCGTCTTTTGTAATTGGTTGGCATACTCAGTTTTGCAATCTTCACAAATTCTATTCTTTATTTGAGCATGAGTACGAGCCTGCAAAACATTGTTACAAGATGTGAAATAAATATAGTATATACTAGGAACAAATTGAATAGGAAACAAGAGAGAGAGTGAGAGATTTTATTTATAAAAACATTAATTAATTCAGTTTTAAAACTTAAATGTACAGCTTCATTAAAGCTTGTTATAATGGCTAAATTGAGTTTAAATACTAACACATTAATACCTGATTAGCAGCATTAATAATAACATATCCATACCTGCCAACATTGGAGAAATAACGGAGATTTTACAATTGACATTTTTTAGGCAACAAGTAATAAAACATGAGTAATAGCATAACATGTAATCAAAAAGAGAAATTCAAAATTAGAAATAATTTATGTACTTATATTTAGTGTGAAGTAAAAAATATGTACATAAATCTTAATCTAAAGAAGATTTTCTTAAACCATTATTTATAATTACTTTAACTACTAACACTCAACATACTGCAGTACTGGCAATAGCACTATCTGTTGAATCTGTCTGCAATAGCACTATATAAGAGTTGTATTTTCGCCATCAGCAGATATTTGATCGGAAAATAATTTTTTTAATTTCTTCAACAAATACGGAGAAATTTGAGAATATACAGGTAAACAGGAGACACTCATAAAACACAGGAGTCTTTGTTAAAAAACAGCAGATCAACAGCAAAACATGCATATTCAAATATTTTTCTATAACCAATTGCAATGGAAAAGTTAGCAATTAGGAAATAAAACTATGGAGTTACACAACTAAATTTACGTTACTTTGTATAGCATTAGAGTGTTATGGGAAAAAAAACATTTTTTAAATTAAATGTTTGATAAATATATTATGGTTGGTAGTAAGTACAGAATAGGTCTTTATTTTTTTTGCAACAGCATTAAATAAGGCAGTTTTATATAGGAAAAAAAAGTGTCTTTCTCTTACTATACACAAAGCTGTTCATCTCATATTTACCAACACATACTCAATTGTTTAAAATATTCCCACTTTCATGTCATTAATTAATGACAATAACAGTCTGTGGCCAAATTATCAAACACAGTATAAGATTTTATGTAAAAGCTTAATCATCAGGTGATACTATACAGCTTTATTGTTTTCACGCGACTGAAACCAGTTTGCGGAAAACGTTTGGGTATCAATTGGTAAAACTAGACAACATATAATATAAATTCAACGATTGGATAAATTTGACGATATATGATATAAAATATAGAATACTTGTTATATCAGGTATTATATTGGGATATCATTATAACTAGACCAAATGATTAGACGCACTGTAGTGTTTTAATAATGACATGTTTTGTACGAGTTTGTATGCAATACTTTTATATTTAAACATACAAGTAATGGGGTTTTATTCAAGGGATATTTTTATATACTTCCTATTTATATTAATTATTAATGTATTGCATTACAATGTTAACCCATTGATACACGAACGTAAACAAGTGCAAACCGGTTTCAGTCTGTAAAAACAATAAAGCTGTATAGTATCAATTGATAATTAATTTTACATAGAATCTTATAGAGTGTCTAACAATTTGGGCAGGACCGTATCTTTAAGGGCATCATAAAATTGGTATGAGTAAACAATAATGCTGGTAAAGATTTAAAAAAATATAACAAGCATTTCAGAAAAGAAAAAATTATTATTTACCTTTTCCACATCAGCTCTCGAAAGATTAATGTCTGCATCAATTTTCACAAAGGTTTCATTTGCTTTTTCGGCTTCTTTAAATGACTTCTCGTACGCCTTTTTATTCTGCAAAATACTCGTGATATTAATAAAATGTAAGCAAAAATAATGTTACAAAAAAAAATAAGAAGAGAAAAAAAAATAAGTCACTAACTGTATAAAAATGTTTTAGCACTTTCCAGTCTTAAAATAGAAAATATAATCAACATACAGTAGGGGTTTCAGACATCCTAAATTGGTTTTGTACTGGACACGAGGGTTTTATTGTCTTAAACTGTCTTAAAGTGTCCAAAACCTTGAACTTTGGTAAAAGGTAAAAATTTTGAAAGGTGTAACCATTGTACACATAATTACATATATTAATAAATATTTGATACTTTTTTTATACAATTTGCTTCAACTTATTAAAGAAAAATAAAATAATATAATAGGAAAATATAAGTTTCGAAACTCCACAATTCATTGAACAACAAAATTGAATACCTTTAAATATAAATAAATATACTTTTAATACTGATAAATTGTGTTTTTGCATCAGGACAAATAATGCAATATTAAAAATATTAGTAAACTTTTTTAATAAAACAAAAACTTTTCTTCATTTTGTTTCGGGTTCAAGAATTAACCTTTTATTTTTCACAATATTCACATAAAAGGGTTTTGGACTGTTTAAGACGGGCAAAGGGGTTCAAACTGTGGATTAATCCAATCTGTCCTAAACTCTGTACAGAAGACTTCTTAATAATTATATGGTGCCATCTACAGATAAGCAGGAGGAGAGAGAGGCTAAAGAGAAATTTTTCATCCATGAACTAGATAGAACAATCACTCTTGACAATTACTGGTCCCCAACCCACATTTAGGAATTAATTTGCTATTTTTATGAAAAATGTTACCTAAATAAATGCATAAATATCTCGATGTAGTACCACTGATTACTTAAATGTGTATAATAAATTGTATATTCAGGGGTCTGTCTAGGTTTCTTTGAGATGTACTTATTTTGTGAAAATTTAGACATAATTTGTGAAAATGAAAAGTTACATTAACACCAAAATATGGTAAAATAAGAAATTGTTTTCAAAAATTGTCACTACAAATAAAAATCATTTATGACGGGTAAATTTCTATATATTTTTCCCCATATATTAGAAAATAAATTTGCTATTGTAAAATTCTGAGCTTAAAATTGTATCCAAATTTTAAAAGCCATTGTTAAATTTAAACTTGCATTTAGAAGAACTAGAACTAAAAATTATTTTCATTATGAGAACTTTCATTATTTTCAACTAGGTCATACAGAAAAAAGTTTCATAAAGAAAAAAAAAATTCATAAAAAATAAAGTCTGTCAGAATAAATTTAGAATGATGTTAAGGATAATGTTCGAATGTTTAGAATGATGTTCCAATTTTGACTTCCTGTATAGTTTATAAAGCGAGAACCTCGTTGTTACATTTTAAAAAAACTATGGGATTTATAGTTTTTTATGGGGATACAAAAACAAAATTTTAAGAGGGGGATAATCTTAGAGCTTGCTTTTTATAAAGTATTTCGTGAAACTACCGTTTTTTCAAAAGTTGAATTTGTGAAGGTGCCGCTAAATGGTAGTAAATTTGCCCTCGACAGATCCCCGATATTTTATTGGTATTATATTCTTTTATACGAGTGCTATCTTTCAAGAACTATTAATTGAAATTCTCCAAAAAGCACTTTTGGAAATGTTTGAGAACATTTTTACATTTTGCCGCTCTTTGTCTTAAATAGAAAAAAATTTAAAAATATCTACTCTGTTGCTGCGATAACAATGTATTCGGGTATGAAAATACTCCACATGTTTCAACTTTTAATCTCTGATACTGATTTTATTGTTGCCTGATTTATATATTTTCCGTAATTTAATTTCATTTTAACACTGTGATTAATGTCTTTATTTATTTTAATTAAGCAAATTTAGTATTATTATTAATATGGCTGCATCACATGGTGAAATACCTATTATTTCTAAGCATAGTAATACGCTATTTTTTACACAGCTAGATGCTGCATTCACCATGAACAAAATTAATGACAAACTTACCAAATATAATTATCTAGTAAATATTTTAAATTCTGAAATACTTTCCTCTGTTGGTGATGTAATTTTTAATGTTTCAGCAAAATTACCATTCACTGAATTAAAAGAGAAACTAGTCATTTTTGGGCATTCTGATGCTCATAATATTAAGGCCCTGTTGGAAGACCTCACTTTAGGAAAATAAAAATACCCGGCATCTTGCTCAGGCGTATAAAAGAGCGAGCCAATGGCCAAAAAAAAAATTTTTTTTAAATAAATCTCTGGCTACAATGTTTTCCCAATAACATTCAGACTGTACTAGCTAGAACCCTAGTAACAATTTTACATTGGTCCCAGTTAGGCTCAAAATTCGCTAATATGGGTCCCATCAGAACATGCACTGAGGGACCTATATTGTGATGTCTACATTTTTTAATATTGGTTGGATATTGGAACAAGATTCATTTCTATCTAGGACCAATATTGAAAAATCTAGACATCCCAATGTTTCACAACATTATAAGTCTAAAAAAGATCTATGTAGAAAATTACATTGATCCATTATTGAGTTATTCTAGGACCAATATTGAAAAATCTAAATAATCCAATGTTTACCCAAAATTTTAAGTCTATAAAGGTCCTACATAGAAAATGATACTGGTCTATCATTGAGAGACATTCAAGGGCAAATATTGAAATATCTAGACAAAAACCTATCAAATATATCATCACTTAAGTGATGATATACTTTACTAACTTGCCTAACTTGAAGATAAACTAGCTGAACTGACAGAACCTACCAATCTACGCATCAACTCTGCATTAATCATAGAAAAGAGCAAATATAAAATCCAGCACTCGCAGATATCTGAATTATAAAATAAATTAAATATCAAAGCATTTGACTGCAGATATAATCATAAAATGTGTATAATGTCCGTAGAATATATTGCATACTTTCTTTGTACACATTATTCTTCTATATATGAGCCCTGACAACTGCAAACATTGGAGAAATAAAATAATCAAGATTTTAATATACAAGTTAAATTTTCAAACATTATGCCCATAAGTCAAAAAGATGCAAGTCAAAAACAGAAATTCAAAATTGAAAATACAGAGTATCTACTACATTTCAGATTTTCAAATTCAAGATTTTCAATGACTAATTCCAAGAATTTTTCATGACTTAACGAAGTTACTACTTTCTCCGACAAAAACGCAACGATCAATTTAAAAAAGCATTATAATTACATTCATTTAAATGATAGGTATAACCAAAACAGATATACTATGCATCTTCATATTTACAGATTTTAAATTTAAAAAACAATGTCATAAAGAAAGAGCAGAAACAATAAAATAGCTGAAAAAAATACAAAAGCAAATAAATTTTTCTGCAGAATTTTATTCTAAAGATACTTTTTTTGTTCATCGAAAAGGAAAGAAATACTCCTGATTTTTCATTTCTCATTTCGGTATAGAAAAAAATTCGCCAATAACTGGTTTGCTCCATCTAGAATTTTAAAATAATAAAATAATACAAATTCTTAAATCACAGCAGTTTAAAAGATAATTTGCTCCAGAAATTATTTTTCTTTCATTTTTGAAAGAATACCAAAATTTTTAAAAAACATGATAAAAACATTTTATATTCTAATAAAATATAACTGTGAGTGGTGATTTTGTTATGAATTCAGATATTCGGAACAAAATAAAATTGGGGGGGAGGAGATTTTTCGGCAATCTAAATCCATGATTATTTTTTTTTAAATAGCTACACGACATTTCATAACAAATTTCCTTTAATAGTGAAATTCATGATTTTCCATGACTTTCCAGGTGCGCAGATACCCTGAAAATAATATAAGCACTAACGTTAATAAATATGTACATGAATCTTGATCTAAAGAAGATTTTTTAAGCCCTTATTTATAATTACTTAAACTATTTTATTTTATAAATGTAATAGTTTAAGTTGAGAATAAAATAGTTGCACAGTCAACCCAATTTTTTGGGTTTACAACTACTAATGTTCAACTGCATAGTCTTATAATTTTGAACCCAATCCAGAGGACAAGGGAACTCCTGGATCAAGAAGAGGGAGAAATGTAACTTCAGGGAGGACTTTTTTGATGGATCTAACCTGCATGAAGAGGAAAATCTCCCACGGTTAGCCTTACAGCAAGGGGATTCTAACCCATGATTTGTCTACCACTGAGGATATTTCACATCAACAGTGTGGTAGGTGCAAGCTAGATGCAGAATTTGTATTGACCTTCCATTGCTGGGATTCGAACCTGGTTCACCGAATTGGAAAGTGAACGCTCTATCCCCTGAGTCATCACGGCTTACACTATTAACACTCAACATACTGCAGTACTGGCAATAGCACCATCTGTTGAGGAATAAGAGAAGTATTTTTGACATCAATGGATATTTAATCGCCAAAAAAAATTTTTTTAATTAAATTTCTTCAACAAATACGGAGATATTTGAGAATATACAGGTAAACAGCAGATAGTTGTAAAATACTGGAGTCTTCATTAAAAAAAAACAGGAGATTTGGCAGGTATGCAATTGCTTAAGGAATAAAATTATAAAAAATGATTTCACCAACTTCTCATCATTGGGTAATAAAAAAAGAAGTCCTAATTAATACAAATATGTAGGGGCAAACTAAATAGAAAAAATCTTTTTTATTTAAGCTTTTACCAGGTTTTAATACAGGCTGGAATGTGAAGAAGAATTTTGACTTCAAAACCTGCTTAATCCTTTGGTATAATTTTTATAGCCAAAAAAAAAATTTTATTTACATCTAAAGACATTTAAAAAAAAAAAAAAACATAAAGGAATTTTTTTATTACTTTTTCAAGAGAATATCTCGAATTTTGGAGATTGGTTTGGTATTTCTGTCNTGATGGATCTAACCTGCATGAAGAGGAAAATCTCCCACGGTTAGCCTTACAGCAAGGGGATTCTAACCCATGATTCGTCTACCACTGAGGATATTTCACATCAACAGTGTGGTAGGTGCAAGCTAGATGCAGAATTTGTATTGACCTGCCATTGCTGGGATTCGAACCTGGTTCACCGCATTGGAAAGTGAACGCTCTATCCCCTGAGTCATCACGGCTTACACTATTAACACTCAACATACTGCAGTACTGGCAATAGCACCATCTGTTGAGGAATAAGAGAAGTATTTTTGACATCAATGGATATTTAGTCGCCAAAAAAAATTATTTTAATTAAATTTCTTCAACAAATACGGAGACATTTAAGAATATACAGGTAAACAGCAGATAGTTGTAAGATACTGGAGTCTTCATTAAAAAAAACAGGAAACTTGGCAGGTATGCAATTGCTTAAGGAATAAAATTATAAAAAATGATTTCACCAACTTCTCATCATTGGGTAATAAAAAAAGAAGTCCTCATTAATACAAATATGTAGGGGCAAACTAAATAGAAAAAAATCTTTTTTATTTAAGCTTTCACCAGATTTTAATACAAGGTGAAATGTGAAGAAGAATTTTGACTTCAAAACCTGCTTAATCCTTTGGTATAATTTTTATAGCCAAAAATAATTTTTTATTTACATCTAAAGATATTTTAAAAAAAAAAAAAAAAACATTAAGGAATTTTTTTATTACTTTTTCAAGAGAATATCTCGAATTTTGGAGATTGGTTTGGTATTTCTGTCCATCGTTCAAATGCTACAAAGAAAAAAAAATCCATATTAGGAAATACTATTTTACAACATAACATAAAGTAAACAAAAATATCTAATTAATAAAGGGTGAATTTGAAATGTTCCACCGATTGAAGACGTCAAAAGGGCTGATTTACAAATGTTACTAACCATTTTTTACATTTATCTACATTTAGGGTTTCTTTTTTTACACCTGTCTGGGTGAACGTGTAGTTTGTCAACATGGAGAGGAATTTTAGAAAGCAATACTATATCGCATCATTTAACATCATAGATTATAATTTAAATTTAATATTTGATAATCACATAACTGCCAACATGGATAAGAAAAAATCCAGTAGATTTTATGAAATAATATAAATTCATGTTAATTGGTGCATAATGTACTAAATATTTTACACATAGCGAATTTTATGGATTTTTATAGTCATCAAAATAGAAAAATTGCAATATTTTCCCGTTATAATTTATATAAAACATGCTTGAAATGTTATGTATTATGTATAGTCATAATTTTGAATATCAAAAGGTACATAATTGAACAAAGATACTTAAACGATTTTTTTAATTAATTTAAAAAAAGAGTTCTGAATAAAAATAAACTGAACATTTTATATAACAAAAAAAAGTTTTCAACTGATTTTTATAAATGAGGTTTGCTTCATTATGTATTAGATTTAAATAGTCAAGTAAGATAGCAAGCAATAATCTGTACAAAAAACAGGATAATTTCAATTAAACCAGTAGACCAAGAGATACTGGAAAAATCCAGTAGAGTTGGCAGCTGTGTAATCATAATAGCTTATTTCATAGTGGGTGCATCGATCTTATGCGAATCAAATGTGGGTTTAAATAGAATTGCCACTCAAGCTTCTAATCTGATTGCTAAATTCTGTTGTCACAGTGATTCTTTTGCAACCATCGACACACTTTTGTAGATTGATGATGCAATAACATTTTTGATGTTCATCATGCATTTTGCATTGCTTCATATTCCTCATTAAAAATATAAATTCATTGCAAGTGTCTGTAAGGACTGAATTTACATACATTTATTATCGAGATTTAGCATTTGAACCTTTGCCTTCTGGTTGTCACAATTTCCACACATTATGTAGTTACTTTCACGCTATTAGAAAAAGTAAATGGCAAGCCAATGCCACTCTTTAAGGTAGGTGCACATCACAAGCTAAGTCATGCGAAAAGTTTCTTTTTTTGCTTTCAAATACTTCCTTTATTTTTATAATTACTATTTACGTTAGCTCTAATTATGATATTAGCACAACTGCCAACGTAGATAGGAAAAAAAATCTAGTAGATTTTACAAAATAATGTAAATTTCATGATAATTGCTGCATTATGTAATAAATATGTTACACATAGGGAATTTTAGGGATTTTTATAGGCATCAAAACAGAAAAACTGCAAAAGTTTCCAGTTATGATTGACATTAAACATACTTGAACATACATTAAACATACTTGAAATGTTACTATGTATTATGTTTACTCATAATTCTGTATAAAAATAGGCAATTAATTCAAAGATAAGTAAAAGATTTTTCTTAATTTAAAAAGAGAATTCTGAATAAAAATAATTTGAACATTTTAGTACAAAAAAGATTTGAACTGATTTCTATAAATGAGGTTCGTTTCATTATGTATTATTAATACTTATTTAAATACTCAAGCAAGCAAGCAATAATCTGTTCAAACATTCTATTTCAATAAGGATTTTTTTTAAAAAAACTTACTCAATTTTAGGGAATTTTCTAGAATATACAAAAACCAGGAGAATTTTAAGTAAACCAGTACACTAGGAGAAACTGGCAAAATCCAGTAAAGTTGCCAGCTATGTATTAGTTTTAATGAATTTAAATCAGAAAATGGTGGGCATAACTTTCAAACATTTAAAAATACTTTTAAATTGTGTAATGACGTGTATAAGATAAAAACTAAATACGGTCGGACTTCTATTTAACGAGCTTCCATTTTGCAAAGTTCTCTATTTTAAGATTTTTTTTTTTTTTCCGAGCAACCAAGAACAATTCGGAAATTTCTATGTAAAATAACTTCCAAACAGCGAAGTGAGTTTTCTATTTAACGAACTTTTCTTTGAGATCCACTTTCCATATTTTCCAAAATATTTCAGAACATTTCAAACTTGTTAACAGATTTTAAGGGGGAAATTGATTTTTTAAGCCACTTAACTTTTAGAGAAAGCAGCAAAATCCCTTTCCCTTTTCGTTTGCATTTCAAACGAAAAACTCAAAACTAACTGATTTTATCTTTAACAATTAAACTTAAGAACGCATGTGGTAATGTATGTTTAAAATTACTTTTATATTAATGCAGCTATGATTTTATACATAAATTTAGCTTTTTTTTAGTTGAAAATATATGTAGCATGATAGTGTAACACTGGATAATATTTTGCTCCATTCTTGCTTTCCATGCAGATTTCTTTTATGGTTAATGTTTATAAAATAAATAGAAGATAGTAGTTTACAAGATAAAAGTGTATCAACTGCTATTTTAATTATGTCTATGGTTTATGAATTTAAAAACTGTTTTGTGTTGTTTAAGTATTTCATGAACAACTTTTTCACACATAACGAACATATTATCGGGATTTAGCAACTTCGTTAAATAGAGGTCCAACTGTATTTACAAAACTCTAGCACAGAAGTTCTCAAAATAAATTCATAACTATTGCAATAACATAAAACCTTTTTTCTTTCATCCTTTAACTCTTTAAATAAATCTGAAATTTCTTTCATTATTTGCCCAGAATATGTTTCAGCTATGATTTCATGTTGTCCAGCCATGTCATTCAGCTCATTCAACATTTTTACAAAGGCTACAGCAGATGAGAATCTAAAAAAATTCATTTAAATATTTGTTACTACACAGGGTGCACAGCCATATCTTTCAACAAAAAATCAGCACAAAGTACTTTTTAAACACTCTACATTAACAAAATGCAAAATAATTTTCAAAGACTTTTACATGATCATGATAAAATAATTTGTTTCTGACGAAGAACTTCTTTCTTGATTATAATTAACCATTAAAAAATGATTAAGAGATTTTTCGGTTCAATTTCAGAGGGTGGAAAATGAAGCTTGAAATTGAGAATATCATGCAAAATGCAGAGTTGCACATGAGAGCGCAATAATTGTACTGAATCCAGTTTGGTATATGCACATGTGGACCCACAAGTATTTCATCAAGCATGTAAAATGGTTGCCGCTTTCGTAGGCTATTGGACCGACGCTACGCGGAAATGGATTGTGGCTCAATGAATTGAGAAAACATTGAATAGACAATGTGAAAGCCCCGCTGACATTTGACATCCATGAAAAAGAATACATAGAGAAGTAAATCAGAAAAAATAAAAATCAATCTTAATTTTTGAAAGAAAATTTTTTTAAGTTAAACATAACAGTTTTCTAACTACTGTATTTTCAAAAAGAAAGAGTGAAAAATGAAGTTGAATAGAAACCCTCTTAATTGTAAATTTTTTATAAAAACAAATGTTTTTGAAATAGGAAAAGCTAGATAGAAACAAAAACGAAAATTGTATTTAAAAATAACAATTTAACTTTTGCACACAGACGCATTTTTGAAAAAAATATGACCATAAAAGAATAATGTTCACAGAAAAGAACCTTAAGAGAATATGGTTCACAAAATAATGTTTTCAAGAAGAAAAAGTGAAAAATAAAGTCTAATAAAAACCCTCTTAATAATAAAAACTCTTATAAAAACAAATGTTTTTGAAATAGGAAAAGCTAGATGTAAACAAAAACGAAAATCGTTCAATTTTAAACATTAAAATATCAATTTAACTTTTTACACATTACAGCATTTTTTGAAAAAAAGTTATCATAAAAGAATAACGTTCACAGGATTCATACACAAAAAAAAAGTATTTTTTTCTCTGACTTTTCCAAGTAATGAAAAAAAAAAAAAGAAATATCAACAAAATTTATATTTAATTGCAATGTAAATTAGAATCATAAATAAAATTGAAGCTCTAAGAAAGCATTAATAAATTATTTTTATTTTTAAAAAAATCAAGTGATTTTAACTGTACCAACTCTGATTATAAATAATAAATTGCCAGAACTATAAACGTGACTGAAAGTACTGACAGTACATTATAGAGTATTTTTGATTGAAAAACAAATAAGAAATTCACTGACTGAATATCTTCTTCCTCCTTCTTTTTCGGCTGGTAATTTTTAACCAGTTTCCTAAAAGATAAAAATGCAATGATGAGAATAACATATATATCAATGACATAATAAAACAACTATATAAAAACCAGCATATTTTTAAAGATCCCCCTACAGTACAAGTTAAAAGTACATTGTAGCAAGATATTAGTGCTAGGAAAGTTTGTCGTAGAAATTTCGAAGATATTTTGCCATAAGCAGGACCCCCTCCTGCCTATGTCATGTAGGTTAAGGTCCTGCAATTTTTTGCTATTGGCTGGAAGATCAGCATTGCAAGCCGACCAATTTTACTTCTCAGACAAGCTTTAAGCAGTCACAGTATTTTCCCCCCGATATCAGTGTCAATCAATCAATTTGCAACAAATAACTATTTTCTGTATGGCATTTATTGAAAAAACAGTCAGAAATTAGTCATGCTTGAATAGCTTTATTGCTAAAAACTAGGTTAAGGTCAATCAATTTTATTTGGGGGGGGGGGAGAACAATTGAAAAAAAAATAGCTTTCAAGGGCTGGAGTAAATTCAGTTTTTATGTCAATTACCAATAAATTAAATTATTCTTTAGTTTACAAAAGAAATAATAATTCGTCTTTATGTATGAACAATATTTTTGTATGAAATGAAATAGCAGTTTTGCACATGTCTTTCCTACTACATGCAATAAAATAAAAAGGCTGCCATCGATAAAATTATATTTCAAATTTTTAAGTTTTTCCCATGAAATAATAATTTTATAGTTTTTCAAGCTACGAAGCCAGGTTTTTCAACAATAAATAAGCACCTTTTAAGTACTTTTTAATCACTTGAAAAATATTTTTAATAACTTTCCAACAAAAAAAAAATCATAATTAGTATCTGTGCAGTAATAAAAATTATTTTTTTCTATCGTTTAAAGTTCTTAACATAAAATCAATAAAATTCACAAACATACTAAAACTTAAACATAATCATGATAAAATAACTAGTTTCTGACAAATATTGCATTGTGAAAATCATGCATTTTTTGTAATTTAGAATGACAATCGACACTGCAAAAAAATCTCTTTTAAAAGATAGAAAATTAAGCACTATTTACAAACCTCGAATAAAAAAAAAGCACCTTTAAGGGCTTTTAAAAAATTCAAGTAAAACATAACTATCTTTAAACACTTTTTAAAAACCCTATGCACACTGATTTTTTATTGTTTATAAACTCTTTAAACTTTTTTAAAATAAACCTTTATCATATTTGTTTAGAATGTGTTTAAAAAAAATTCAAAAACATAAAAAATTTACAATTTTATGACACTAGAATGAGTACCTCCGAATTTTATAGTTATTGTGAAAAACTATGTTAAAATACACAAATTAAGATTAACAAGTCAAAGTAAATAAACAAACCTAAGTTTATAAGCATATTCAGATTCTATTGCACACCTTTCCTTTAAAAATGAATTATATTTCTCTAAAAATTCAATTCCTCTTAGCGTATGATGGTTGTCATATTGATCCTGTAAAGAAAACAAAAATTAACCAGAAGTATTAACAAGCAGAAAATAATGATTTATACATAAGTTCAAATAAAAAGAAAAATGAAAAATATAATAAAATCAAATGAAGATTTTAAAAATTAAATTTTTTCACATGTACCAAAAAGAAGAAAATATTTATTTTAGTCATAGACAAAGAGCAGTGCTCGAAAATAAGGGTGATCACTATACAATAAAAAGTGTAAGAATGCAGTTTTGGTTTTTCTGTTGCGAGTTTTTTAACTGCTACAAACCCATTTTCTCCTGATGATCATTCTGTCTCAGGAGGCTACTTACCAGGGTTCGTGATTTTTTTGATTTTTATTCAAACACATTGTAAGAACTTTAATTTATGATTAAAAATACTTAATAAATTTTTAATCAAAATTAAATTAATATGAAAGCAATATAATATTTTAGAAGCTCTAACTTACTAATATAATTTTTCATTATAATACATAGCTTTGAATACATAGCAACCATTCTGAAACAAATGCATAATTGAAATTTGAAGACTAGATGAAATAGACAATTTAATGAAAGGGGTCTGTCTAGGTTTTTCTGAGAGGTATTTATTTTGAGAAAATTTAGACATGATTTGTGAAAATTAAAAATAATATTAAAAAATCAGCACAAAAATATGGACTTTTTCGTTTCTTAAGAAACACAAAAATAAAATTTTTTTAAAAAGTATTTTGTGAACTTTTTCCTAAAGTTGAATTTGTGAAGGTACTCTAAGCAGTAGCAAATTTGGCTTGGACAGACTCTTTAACTATTAAATTTAAGTTTCAATTAGCAAACCATAATTTTAATTTAAAATTGTGTTTTTTTTTCTCTTGATTTTTAATATGACAAAATAAATGTAACAGATTGTGTTTATAAATGTAGTCACTCATCAAAAAATAAATATTTAATCTATGTATTTTTATATTAAAATATTCATTTTTAATTCTATGTCAAAATAGATCAGCTAAAATTTTTTTTTACAAAACCTATGCACTCATTGGAATTTTTTTTCACGAAATTTCTTTATAGAAAATTTGATAATGTCAAAGATACTGTAAACATATTATGAGAAAAAAATACCAGTTAATAACTTTATTGCGTCAAATAGACTTTGAAAGAGAAGAATGACACTATATCAGGAAAAAGTATATCAATTCATTAACCTTTTTTTTTTCTTTTTATTTTTGGCATATTAAGGTATAATTCTTTTTAATATAACCTCAAGCTTTAGAAATATACATTTTCCACCAATAAAATATAATGTAGATTTTAATTCCAAGCTGTTTCAATCAAAAGGTAGAATTTTAATTAAGATTATTTGCATTTTTTTCCTTCGAAATTCATGTATATTAATAACTTTCTACACCTATGCAAGTCTATATTAAGACAGCATTAAATGTGTACTTTAATCTGCACTTTCATTCTCAAGAATCGAAAGATTTTTAATGTAATTTCAAATGGGCTGGAATTTAACACACACCAAAAAAGAAAGTAATTTCGTTAACAAAAATTAATTAACGCAGCAATTAATTTAAAATAAATTTTAAAACTAAGAAAAGAAAATAATAAAAGTATCAATAATTTAAAACAGAGTTTTTTAACTTTTAAAATCAATATATATATTTAAAAAAATCAGTTGATATAAATCATGATTTAAATCAAGCTGATTTAAATCAACGAACCCTGCTACTTACTGTAGGGCAGTGTTTCCCAAACTGTGTGGTACGCGTACCCCCAGGGGTACGGGAACAGTTTAGAAACGGTACACGATCTTATGCGCAATATCTTGCAACAAACGAAAATTTCAAAAAAAAAATTTTAAAAACAAATCTAACCATGAAAATTTGTGATTACGTATTTTTCTACTGGCTATTTTTTGCGGTTTTAACAGTTTATAATTAGAGGTGTCAACAGCCAGTTGTGATTTTTAACTTTTGGCTATTTTTTTTATAGTAAAAAATACATTCATTCTTTTATTAGTGGTACACAGTGTTACGAAAAATTTAGAAATGGTACACAAAAGTCATAAGTTTGGGAAACACTGCTGTAGGGGAAAAAAAGTTCGTTCCAAGACTATCGTTTGGGAGGCTTGGGTTTCGGAAGTCATAGGGGGAGGGGGGTTTCTCTAATAATTGGACTCTAATAATCCAAAAATTTACGATTTTGGAACATGGTCGGAAATTTTTAAAATTAGTAGAAAAAAGCGGATTTCCGCTTTTTTGCGGAAGTCTTTCATCTCAGGAATGAAACAGCACATTATATAACATTTGTGAACATTCTTTGTATTGTAATTTTTCATTTAAATTTGCTTTATTAACTTTTTTTTTCCTCCATAAAAATTGTGATAGAGACAAATAAGCATGCCAGTGACGAAATTTTCTTTACACTACGGCAAGGTGTTACTGAAATTGAATAACCATTTTCATACTATTTTACACATAATTAGTACTGTAAGAAAATCATTTTTTCTTCTTTTTTTTTAATTGTTACTTTAGTGCTTTAGTTTTCCGTCAGCAAATTTACTAGAAAGTGGTTGGTTGGCGATTTAAGGAACATAAATTTTGCTTGCAACATTCTGGAAACAACTTAAACTTACGCTATCATTCAGTTAAAACTTTGGGTACTGCAGCTAATCGGTAAAATGGACGAAATTTCGATTAACGAAGTATAGTATTTCGAGGAAAATGGTATTTGTTGTGGCCAGGTAATGGTCCAGCACAAAGCTTCCATAAAATTTGAGGGATTAAAATTCAGCAATAATACCGCTGCTTGCTGTAGTTTGCTCAGTATTATCATCTAGCGGTCTAATTAAAATTTAAATGCTCAAGCTATGCAGAGAATTATAAGAATTTTAACAATATAGCAATAAATTTTATTTTAGCGATTTTAGAAACAATTATAACTTGCATTAGCCATCAGGTACATACCTCATTTATAGATTTGTGCACTCTAGCTTGTCAAAAAGAAGTCGAAATTCAGATTGCAAGATTTCATTCATTACAAATACAAAAAGAAGTTAATAAAAACGTTGTAATAATAAAAATAATGGCAACATTTTATTAAAAAAAAATTCTTAATTTCATTGTAATTTGATTTTTCAAATACTTTGATAATAACAGTTTAGTGGCTCTGGATTAATAATTAAGCACCATCCACAGTGATGGAGCAACATAAGACCTTGGGTTCTACCAGGGTGTGTAGCCAAATTTCTCAACAAAAGATAAGTACTTTTTAAGTACTCAAAAAATATTTTTAAGCATTACACACATTAACAAAATGCAAAATAATTTTCAAAGACTTTACATGATTATGATAAAATAACTAGTTTCTGACAAAGAATTCGTTTCTTGATTATATTAGTCATCATAAAAACAATTTATACACAATTATAAAGATATTCAAATACTAAGTGACTCATTCTATTTATCATTCTATTCTATTATCTATATTCAATAATAACTATTTAAATGTGTAAAATTTAATTCAAAATTATAATTTAATTTAACTATTATTTAAAAAACCTTACGAGTGTATTTATTTTAGATTTAAATAAAAATAATTCATAAAACCATAATCAACAAAACATTAACAAGATTAATATCACACCGAATTTATAAAGATACACCGAATTTAAAAAGATATGTAAAGTAAATACACATTACAAATGTAAATTAGTGAATGACCCCTAAAAAATTTTTAGTATTATTTGCTACTAGTATTTAAATTTTTTTAATGAAACGTTTAAAAAAAAATTAAAACAATTTTGAAATGTAAATACAATAAGATACTCTTTCACTTCGATAGAGATCTAACGTTACAGTTGAATTAGAATACCGGTCACTGTTGATTAGCAATCGAACGCGTTTGGAGAAATTGAATCCAAGAAGCGTATTTCAGGGAAATCCTATTCTAAATTCTCCACGAAGCATGAATAAAAAAATGAAAGTTCAGACTAGAGAATATAAAGAATTTAGTGTATAAAATTTACACTTTATGTAATTGCATGAAATTTATTTAGAAGTTATTTCATGTAGTATTACATTACCAGGGTTGCCACAGAAAAAAAGGAACAAAATAGTTCTTTTTAGTAGCCTAAAGCAAAAAAATAGTTGTCGAAAACTATGAAAATAATTGCCTTAAATATGAACGAAAATTCATCAAAAATATGACTTAAATTTTATCAATGACTTAATTGCGATATACCATGATCCCTTTAGTCCAGTGGGTTGCAAATATGATAATTTTTATAGAAACGTTTAGTATTCTAGCACTAAATTTTTTTATCAAAACAATATAGTATATTTGCAGAAAAATAAATACTTTTGATTACTAGAATTCATTAAAAAACATTCACTTTTTCATTAAAAAAAAAGACACTTTTTCTAAAAAACGTTCCCTTTTAAATTCACGCATCGTAATATCGTACTAAAAATTGTTTTTTTTGTGGAATTTCGCAGCAATAACCATTGAAAAGCCGATCGAGAAACGAAAAAGACTTAAATGGAATCTGTGCAAATTAAACAAATTAATAAGTGATGACTCAAATTTGCCATTCAAAATTGTTTATTTTTTAAGAAAAAAAATTCAGTGTCATCAGAAGCTCCGGCGGGCAGCAGGTATTCAACCCAATTTATGCTAAAAATGCTTTTTATGCCAATTTATGCTTTTTCTGAAAATTGTTGCTAACCAAATTTATGTTAAAAAAACATCGCTAGGAGTACAGAAAAGTCTCCCAATAGTCTTCTTTTCCTAAAAATTGTTGCTAACCCAATTTATACTAAAAAAAAAAATTAAAAAAAATACAATGCTAGGTGTACAGAAAAGTCTCCGAATAGTCTCCTTTTCCTGAAAATTATTGCTAACCCAATTTATGCTAAAAATAACATCGCTAGGTGTACAGAAAAGTCTCCCAATAATCTCCTTTTCTTGGAAATAGTTTCTTTTTTTAACCTTTCCAGGCAAAAAAAAGTTGCCATAGCCGAAAATAGTTGCAT